AGCGAACAAGCCAACAACCATCTACGCTACCTGAGCTACCGACATTCTCCTCTATAGCAGTTGATTGTGCTGGATGGTTTCCGCGACCGAAGTACCTGTAATACCAGTGAAAGGAAGAAGGCCATCGCAGCGGAGTCATTTACTAGAAAATGCCAACTGAACAGTTACGGACTATTGGACAGGCAAGCAAAACTCTCATATGCAACTTGTTTACCATCTTCTCCTGAACGCGTCTTCTTGAACTTTCCTGGATATTCATTGACTCCAATCATTCATCGCTCGAATCCAAGCAAATGCTACAAAGCGACCCCACCAACTCCGCAACAGAGCTCCCCTTTTCAAGAGACACAAAGCAAAATTCCACGAACAACACATACTACTCGCGTGCCCCCCCATCAGTAGTATCAACGTTACACCAGTAGATCGTAGCACCAATTTGCTTTGGTTATTCTTGGCCACATCAGTTGATTATTCCTCACGTTAGTGATGCAGCTTTGGTGATTTAGGTAATATCATTGTCTCTTGGCCTTCACATAGTCCGAGGTTCGCCAAGTTTTCACATCAACGCCATCGCGGCCACATTTCCAAACCGTCCTTCCACACACCAGAAGCTGATTGGTTCTTAAATCAGAGTTTGAAATCTTTCGTTAACCACTGTTGTACCCTACGTTGTTTCCAGCATCTCGCCTTCGTACGTTCCAAAAAGTGTCAAATCAACAACCGCGCTTTTTGCGGTTCGAATAAATTCGTATGCTAATGTCCAACATTACGTAATCTAACCTTGAAAGAATCATCGTTGGTGATTCCGCCTTGAACAAGTGAAATCACTGGTCGTATCAAGAGAAACTGCCGTGAACGATGGCATGGTGCATGGCGAGAACCAGATATAGAACGCTGACACAGGCGTGAACAGGATTATCGATCGATCAACGCCGCTTATTCGGCCCGCGTGCGCGGTAGGTAGACACCATCATAAATCACAGTAACCAGTGTGAGTAAAACAGAACGATGGCGTCGCTTGTCTCCCCTCAGCCGTGAAACTGCATCAGGTCAGTCATTAATTGCTTGACTGGTTTGAAGACTGGTCTGCTAGGTTAAAAAGCCGGAGAACTTTCTGATGTTATGTCAACATGGAAAACAACCGTCTAGCTACTAGAAGTTAGGTCATTCGGAACTGGGATTGGTTCTTGGAGCTGTGTTGCTGAACAGAAACGTTCTGTTGTGTTTTCCCAGACACGTTGCAGTTTATCTTTAAAGTCTTCGTCATCCCTATTTGCTGTTACAGACTGGAAACCGAGGGGAGGTGTATGGAGTTTACAGAGAGACATAGATTGATAGTTCAGTTTCGTTTGAAACCCGGAGAACCGAGTTTTGTTTGTTAAATTATTGATTCGCCATTGACTTCTCTCTGCTATGTCCTCTATGAAGTGCCGCCCATATGAGCGCAACACACTACTCGTAAGGTTGCTGAAAACACTTGGGCAGCTTACGACCGGTTCCTCCCTTCTTGGGGCTCATCGGGTACGCGCAATGCCCGAGGTTTCCGTCAAACTCGGGTTCTACTTGAACCCAAATTATACGAAATTAGCAAAATACACTCATTTGCAAGCAAATTTGACTTTGCGAGAAACTCACCTGGAACGCAGGTAAACCTCTCGTTTGTGATGTTTCCAAGCAACTGGATGTGCTGCGGGCTGCCTCATGTTTCAGTTGGTACGATGTTCAAGATATCGAGATAAATTTATAGACGTAATACAGTTCACATAAGGTTGCTGGAAATTCTTCGACAGCCCACGACGTGTTTCGCCATTCCAACTTGGGCTCATCTGGAAGTCTCCGAGTTTCCGTCAACATTTTGTTCTACTTGAAACCAAACTAATTTTGACAAACACACTCGTTTCAAATCGTTTTTTTTTTCAGGGAAACCCAACTGAATCACTCATTTATGATGTTTTTCTTCAGTTGAGTCTCCTATGGGTACTCAACTGGGTGTATGTTGCGAACTCCCGCCTGTTCTTGCTTAGTTCTCCAGTCACAGGACAGCGCGAGGTCAAACTGGTGAAGAGGATTATGTAATTGGCGTCTGACTGCATTTCACTACAGTGCATGACGTGTGAAGTATTCGACTAAGGTAGAACTTGCAGCGCAACTCAAAATCCATTCAGCTACCTGTCTGAAAAAAAGGCATGAAAGCGAGGTAGTCCCGACAAAAAAACAGTTGGACATAACCCCAAGTTCGATGGATCTTCGGCTTTAATTGGTGCACTTTTAATAGCCAGCATGAACGTCACAAGGGCTTGTCATTGTCATCCTAACAATACTACTAATATTAGTAGTCGGATAGCACGAACGGTCAAAATGGACTGTCTTGTCATCCTAACACCGTGACGAGAAGGTACACTTATTGTAGAAGTCCTTCCATCACAATCCAGGCGCCAGTCGAGCCAATAGACTGCACAAGATATGTTACAGTACCGTTTCCCTATTTCGTTCTCTCAGACCAATTCTCATCTCATTTTTGTGGTAAATCTACCCTAATCTCGGTTGGACAACCCCAGAAAACCCCGTCTGTCTGTCTGTGCAATTCTCGTTTCTCACTGTTCACATGACCAGATCAGTAAATTCCCCAGGATGAATTGAATTGTCCGAAGCATTCTATCGACCGGCCGTTCACGTGACCCGAACAGTTGACATCGTGCCTTCTGGCCCCATCAGTATTCAGTCACTTTGATTTGTAAAAATGTCCATTGCCTTTTTTTGGCTTCAACTAACTTGATGAACCAAATTTTTAGGCAAATTTTTCACCAGAGTTTCTTCCCTGTCATAATGTTTCACGTGCAGTTCCTGTGTAGCTCCCGGACTGCATTTTATTCCTGTGTGACCGATCTATTGTGCCTCGCATCTTCTCGACCAATACAACTAATGGTTCGTTGGCAAACTCATCAACTGTCGATTAGACCGTACGCGATTTATTCGCTATGATTGACGCCTGATATAATTGATATGCCATGGTAAGATAGATTGAATAAGAAACAAAACCTCATTCTGTGCTTCTACCCCGATAGCTTGTGGACAGTTCGACACCACCCATGCTTACCCCCACGTCGTTTTACCATATTCTTTTCTAAACTAGGTGAAACTCATCACGTCAGCATGAAAATGGTTACTCAGGTGAACGGCGTGTGCCGATTACTTTGTGGCAGTTCTCTCTTTCGGGCTTATTCTTATCCATTCGGACATCTCTTCTTCCCTCCTACTTGGACTGGAATACCGACCCCCCAAAAACAACCTTGGGTTTGGATGAATTCGAATGGGTGTGGTTAGGCAAGTAGTTTCGTCACCGAAAGTGTACATTCAATTAGATTTCTCTCTCTTGCCCCCAAGTGATAATCCGTCTATCGTGATGATGGGCGGTTTGTCGGATTCTGTTGGTGACAATCGTCGGGCAGTAGTCGAGCAACGCCTTGTGAGGTGTACCACACCGGGTCATCCTGTATATCAGGTGGAACAATGCACTGAGTGGGTGAGGAGAGTAGGAGAGATGAAAGGCCGAGATGGTTTGTCCTGTAACCAGAAGAGGCCAAACCAACCGCGGACTATCTATCTAATTCGATCTCTGGCTATTTGTCGGAACAGAGGGGTGTTCGATACACACCTGAAATGGCAGCTAAATTAGTTCTGGTTGCGATGCTCAGCGCATGTTACCTTGGTAATCGCGCGCGCGCGCGCACGCGCGCGCAAACTCCACTTGGCACACCCTTCGTGCCAGTTAAACAGACACGCCCATGTATCAGCAGAGGGGACACAATGAACTGCCCGGTAGTTTGAATGGTTGAAATATTATCTATTCCTTGCAGTCATTAGTCGGGTGAAAATTCGTCGACTAAGGGATACGAAAGAAGAAAATTGCTTCACATGATCGTTCAGTCGTCTTTTTCTCATTCGTTCCCGTATACATATACATATACATATACATATACGTTCAAACAAACTCGTCGAGTAGTAATTCACCGAGTAGTCTTGCTGAGTGGAATTCTGTTAACCGACAGGGGAAAACAACGATTTATGCTCATTACAGTACTTGTTTCGTCCTTCTTGTGGATCATCAGGTAAACGATTTGTATTCATAAACGAGAGATTCAGCTCGGTTTCAGATGAATCGATTTGCAGATGATTGTATGTGTTGGGTTGTATGTTGGGTTGACCGACACTCGAGGACTGCGCCTACCTGATGAGCCCAAAGTGGAAGGGCAAAATCGGTCGTGGGCTGTCGAAGAAGTTTCAGCAACCTTGTGAGTAGTGTATTACGTCTATACATGTATCACGACATCTCGAACATCGTATCAACTGACACATTGGTGGCCTGCTACAGCACATTCAGTTGCTTGAAAACATCATGAATGAGAGATTCAGCTGCGTTCAAAATTCGTTTGCAAATGGGTGTACTTCGCTAGGCATTTATGCTTTTTTCCCGTCAAGAACTATCGGTATTTTCCAATCGATACCCCGGAAACCTTCGTCAGCTAACTGACAAGACATCTCACGCTGAGAACTGGACAACTTTTGAACTGTGTCGGTGGGAAGGCGAAAAAGGCTGAAGCAAGCTGAATCCGCTTAGAAGAATAGCTGAAATTCACAGCAGCCTGCTTGTTTTGCAACGTGCAACAACAGTCAGTTCCATTTCAGTTTCAGTTTCAAAAGAGTCCTCGGTCTGAGAAAGGAGAACTAGATTCTGTGCTTTGTTGTTCAGCTTTCACACCACATGTCCAAGAACGGCCTAGATTGTGTTTTATAAGTAAACTATTCCTTATAATTGCTTGTAATAGGTTGATAGTATGACCAGATTTGAGAGTTTTCGATGGAGAGTTGGTTTTGTAAGTGAAGCCTGGGCTAGTTCACGGTGTTGTGAATTTCAAAACAACATCTATGATGCGATCATAAAAGTCAATGCAGCAGCTCATCAGGACACACGGTTCTAGAACTTTCCAAGAGGAGATCCAGCATGGTTCAATCAATCGTTCGACTCTGCAACTGGAAGTGTTGCAGTAAAGTTACTGAAATGGCAAATGTTCAATAGGAATCACGACTGTCAGGGACGATCACCGCCTGGCTACGTCTGAGACCTGTGCATGCCGCCAAATGAGTGTGATTGGATCCATAGTCCTTCGTAAAAGTTGCCTTGATTTATCACCAAGCCATCAGCATCATCATCATAACCATCATCATCATCATCATCATCATCATCAACATCGTCATCATCATCATCATCATCATCATCAACATCGTCATCATCATCATCATCATCATCATCAACATCGTCATCATCATCATCATCATCATCATCAACATCGTCATCATCATCATCATCATCATCATCAACATCGTCATCATCATCATCATCATCATCATCAACATCGTCATCATCATCATCATCATCATCATCAACATCGTCATCATCATCATCATCATCATCATCAACATCGTCATCATCATCATCATCATCATCATCACCGTTTCCTGAACTCGCGGACAATCAAAAGCAAGTCTCTTGAGTTGTTTCTTCCAAAGGTGTCTCCAACAATCTAATTATCAGTGAAAATGTAGTTCTGTTGTGCCCAGTGAATACATGCATTTGGTTATTCACAAGCAAGCGGCACGAAGAGATACTACTTATAAGGTTGCTGGAATCCTTTCCACGGAATTCGGTTGAATTTTCGGTGTACAAGTGAACGGGGGTGTTTTGCATAGCCAGACATGCATTTAGCTTAGGTTTCGTTGCGCATGTTATGATATGTCATCGTTTCCGGCTAGATCCTATTGATATCGGTCGGTTTCTATCACACATTACTGCTCGCAACATTTGCACATCCATGCTATTCATCTGCTCCCAAGATTTCAACCATTTTTGTGCATCTCACCTGTTCAAACCAGGTAACTCCCGGCTTAACTGCCGCACGCTTCGGGATACCTCGATAGAGTTCGATGGTTCAGGCTCAAACTAACTAACCAGAAGACCTACGGTTGGAACCCAACCTCATCATCTTGACTGCTTCTGTCTAGGCTTAAGCAACCTGGCAGTACCCCAAATTTCGTGCTCCCTTCGGGTGGCTTGGCAGCTATGCATCGAAGACGCGTTGCGGCGTCCACGTGACTGCTCCCGGCGTAACTGCCGTATTCTTCGGGATAGCTCGATAAAGTTCGACGGTTAAGGCTCAAACTCACCAACTGGAAGGTCCGTGGTTCGAACCCATCCGCGACATCTTGGCTGCTTCTGTCTAAAATTGGGCAACCTGGCAGTATCCCAAATTTCGTGCTTCCTTCAGTTGGCTTGGCAGCTATGCATCTGCAGTGGTCTGGCTACCCAATAAGTTAGTTTACCAGGAGTGTGTGGCAAAGAAATAAAAATGATTACGCTAGGTTGGGTATACAAAAATAAAGAGACCAGATGGAACAGACTCACTAACA